TTCACTTCATCCACCTTCAGCCAGCATGTGGGTGTTAGCTCTCTCATGCCCGCTGGCCTAGCAATGCCTCAAGCTGCGCCAGGTATCCATATTTGTGTGTTGAAAATGGGATATAAGACACATGTGGAACAATAAAAAAAAAACCAACTGGTGAAACATGTGTCTTGTCTTCAAGTACCCATATTCCCTGGAGTTATGAATGGCATAGTGACACACGGGTAAGTGGCATCTACTCAGGAATGCTACAAAATACGGAACCTCAATCACACAAGTGGTATCGTCCGTGATCATAAGACCAATTTTTTTCACTGTTTATGTTCGTGGAGGTCTTCCGTCGAAGACAACAACCAACAGTTCCTCTCAAGAGACATAGGCAATTGCCTCTCAGATCTCACCTTAACAGAGAACTTTAGACATGCTGTCAAATTAACCTCTGCTAGAACATTAACTCTCATGTCCAAAAAGCTATCCATTAAGCCGCTTCACTTTCAGTACTCAATCAACCATCGGATCATGGCACAGCCTACTGCTGTTTGGTAATGCCTATCTTCATGTCGCACCTAAGAAGGGGTAAATCCCTAGCAATATCTATTATTTGCTCAAAAAAAAGTGGTGATTCGACGGAAATGATTACCTTGTCGGTCATCACCTTACGTAGTGTGACAAACACTAGTCGGTGCAAAACAAAGATAAGAACATCTGAAAACTCTCAATCGAAGCCCAAATTAACAAGAAAATAGAAGAGGGGAATACTACTAGAGCTCAAAGATTAATTGCTATCGATAAATCCATGAACATTTGGAATCTCACTACAACACATGTTCTATAGGATAAACATCCATCCAGATTTCCTAACATTTATATTAACCTCAGCGACAGTGCCACATTGTATAAAGCTGCTAAATCGTTACACCGGGATCAGTAGGCGGCTTCACAGGTTTCAGCTCTAGGCACTAAGCAAATGTTCAGTTTAGCACTCGGAGTTGTTTCAGAGAACTTCCTGTCTTAGGAACGCCGCCTAGCTGGCGGCGTTCCTAAGACTATTGGCTCCTCGTCTTTTGGTGCATTCTTTTGTGCCTTACGAGGAAAGAATATAGGATTCAGACCTACTGCTCTCTGCAGTTCCCTCTACCGTCTTGTTGTCTAGCTGCTATTAGAATTTTAAGCCGCGATGCGGAAACAATTCAGCTTGGGTTTGGCATTCCATATAGCTACGATGCAGCAGTTCATGCAGCATTGTGGCATACAATGTTGACTTAACAGATCAAAAAGTCCTGATTAAATTAGGTGTTGCCAACGATTTTAACTTAGATGCTGTCATTCAGCAGTATTTCTTTCCTATCTGTCCTTTCATCCAGTCGTGTTACAGTGGCATTGCAAAAACTTGTCTGGCGAAATCGAAATTAACTGATGGTTAATCTCTCCCCCCCCCATCTCGCCTCTATATTTGTGGCTGGTCATTAAGGAAGTCACAGGAAGGCTGTCAAGTGAGCTCAAGGTGTAGTTCTTGGATGGTGGCACTCTCACTGGCACCTCGAATATATCTGCTAGAACAAATTAGTAAAATACAAGATCTTTGAAAGAATCAAAGACTAATTCTAAACCCATCCAAATGTGAACTAGTTTCTTGCAACTAACAGATCATTAACCAAATCATGATCGCCTTACCATAAGCACGAATCATTGATCTAACTGACAGCTCTCTCCTAGGTGCTCCTCTCGGTTCAAAATTCTATCAACTTGATTCTAGGGTAAAAAATTTCCAGCTTCAGGATGATGGAAGGCCGGATTGTATACACTAGCTCACATGAATCCTTCTATCTGCTCACAAAATGAATTTCCCCTCTCAAAGCTCACCTGATTTTGCGATATTCCTCAGCTGTCAATATTCTCAAACTAAAGGAATATGACACCATTCTGAAGCCTATGTTCAAAAAATGTCCTAAGCCTTTCCAGTCATAAATAATGGATCAAATCTCACTTCCATAGGCAGCGAGTTCATACGATCTCCGAAACTGCCTTTCCAGTTGCCTTATCCTCCTTAATAGCATCAAATGAACTAGTACATAAAATTCTACTAGGCCATCTGGATGATCTAGCAGATTACGTGAGCATAACTGTGTTCGAGGAATTTATAACTGAGGAAACACATGGCTTTAGCTCCAAAACCAGGTGTGATGCTGGTCTACAAACTTTCCAAGTGAGACAACCTCCTTTGCAGAAAAGGAACATTAAAATATGCCTGTCGTTACAACGTCCAACATGGCGAGTGCCCGTCACACAGCTGTAAGTGAACATCATTCTGAAGTTTCTCCTTTATCGGGGCCTATTTAGTAAATTGGAACACATCTCGGCCCATTAATCCTCCACAATGCAACGGCTCATCGCTTTCCTGAATACCAGTGTGAATAGATGCTGATGAAGGCTTGGGATGCAAGACACAAAGAAGACATCACCGATAAAAGCCTCATTATAGTTGAGTGCTCGGCAGAGCAAGAATAGTCCCAATTCTTTGTATCCTACATTAGAGGTAATCAACCTGATTGAATCACAATCTATTGCAGAGAGGCAGACAGCTGGCGTGGGGCTGTTAATACACTGACTGACACCTATATCCATTTATGTACAGAATAGTACTGTTCATCACAAAGTAGACTGTAAACTCAACAAAAGTGGATGCTTAGGTCATCGATACAACTTCGTCTCAGTAGAATCAAAGACCCTAGAACCCTAGGGCAAACGTGCAATAGATTTCTTCACTGAACTGGGTTTTAGGTTGTTTTGCATATTCTGAAATCACCTGTTTACTGTGATCTTATTGCACATATATATATATATATATATATATATATATATATATATATATATATATATATATATATATATAATATATATATATATATATATATATATATATATATAATATGATCATCTGATAAATCGTAATGGACGACTGTAACGGACAGAATTCAAATCTTTGGTTATGCAGGTGCTAAGCCTGCATTCTACCATGGTGTTGTGGTGGAAGAGAACAGACTAATCACACTCACACAGTCTTGGAGTCAATGTTAATTCAGTTTCACTTGAGTTTACTTACAGTCATTAATTACGATGTACATTGCTTTGAAAGGATAAGAACTACATCAATCACTATGTTGGTGGTGGAGAAACAAAGTGGTGAAAAACTTGCAGTTGACATTGCAGACTGTGTTGCCCGCTAACTTTACCAGTGAGTGGTTACTTCCTTCTGTTGCAATCACAAAAACAATACGGTAGAGCTTAGGTTTGGCATACGCATAGGTGTGTGTGTGTGTGTGTGTGTGTGTGTGTGTGTGTGTGTGTGTGTGTGTGTGTGTATAAGAGTAGAAATCTATGGTTACTCACGATAGGCCAAGGAAGCTAAGGTTAATTCACTGTCTAATACTAAATACAAGAGCAACAAAACAATTTCCCAAATACATTTTTACAGATCATGAGTCAAGAATTTTTATCCAAAATCTTATTATACCAAGTTAAATTCATTCTACTCTTGACTACACTGGATTAAGCACTTGTACATCAGCTTCTTCAGTAATGACTGGGACACTTCTCGTACTATATTTTCTCCCTAGGTTCAATTATATCTAAAAGACAGGAAAATCATGAAAAAAAATATGCAAGTCCTTGTGCACAGGATGATTCAGCATCACGTGTGTTATCCAACATACAAAAAATATATGTAACGTGTGTTATACAAAGATTAATTAATGTTTGACATCGTCCGCAGTTAAAACTTGGCAGTAATAATTCTGAAAGTACAATACTTAACTTTTAGTATAGTTTGTTTACATATATTTTCTTAAAATGACGTTATTATAAAAAGTCTTCCTTTCAAAGGTCTACAATATTTGTATAAAGAAAGGTTATTAGAACTTAAACAGTTGAAGATCAACAGTGGATCTTTCGAAGGAAGGGGATGGGGGGGGGGGAGGTGCTTTAGTTCAGTTGAACGCCGCCGCTTGATACGAGGAACTGAAGCCACCCTCTTGTTCCTCGGATTTAAAGTTGATTACCTCCCCCCCCATGAATATTATGATGGCAATATTAACAAAGTCGCCTTTCGTGAGCAGTGACTTTTTTAAATCTCCTCAAACATTTTACCTTCAGAAATCACCAAATATTATTTTCTTTTTAACATGGAGGTCTCTTAAATACTATGGACTGAACAATATTACAGTTACACCTATATTTATAAATAAATAAACAAACAAATAAATATATATGTATATATAAATTCAGATTTCTAATGTATTTCTCCATAAATAATTTAAAAAAAATTGGAAATTTCTTTACATGAACATCGCATTGCTCTTTGAATATAATGTTTATAATAAACACTGAATATTGTTTTTTTAAACATACATGTGTATATATACTTTTAAAACTTCATAAATTTGTTAACCAACAATTTAAAAAAAATTGAAAGTCTATCTACAAGCAATGAAATCTTTTTCTCTTGAAATAGTACTAATAACTATCGATTAAAAATTAAATTAACAAGTAATATAATAATATTTTTAATATATATAAATTTGGAAACTTTATATAATATAATTTTAACAACAGTTTTTAAGTTACGGAATTCTTCTTATATACACTTTGCCGTTTTTTTTTTCTTCTAATAGATAACTCAGTTCGCAGTATTTTAAAGACTGGGAATATCATAAAAATTTTTTTTATGAAATTACTTAGCAAATTTCCCAATCAAAATTGATTCACAAAAAAACTTTAATATTAATACATTATAATATAAAAACTGCGGATTCGCGACTATAATACTCAAAATTCAACTTTTATACACGTAGCAGAAATTATATGGTTCTGACCAAAAATATATATATAATATATATATATATATATATATATATATATATATTATATATATATAATATATATATATATATATATATATATATATATATATATATATATATATATATATATTGAAAGGAGGTATCTGCAGAACAATGAGGAATGTATATATATCCTGAATCTGAATTTTATTCCTGAGGATAATGTGAATCTGGAGTGAATTCAATATCAGTTTACAGATTAACTAATGCACAATAAAATAAATTTCGACGGTGCATTCTAGTTTTAGACCTTTGAGAAGCAGTCTTTTATCTCTTCAGAGGGTCTGACCATTTTAAAGTCAAAAGTTTTTTAGGCCATTAGAAGCTCAAATTTTGATTCTGAGGAGGAATCTTTAGTTTTGAGATTTAGACGAGCATTTTCTCTAGTAATAGATACCCAATGACTCTTGCTAATCTCTGAGAATGAACTAGGAGTCTGGAAGAGCAGCTAGAGAACTGCTGTAAGGACTACGTTTCTCTGCAGCAGCAGCAGCGGCAGCAGAAGCAGCAGCAGAAGTAGCAGCAGGTGTGTGGGTAGCTGCTGTACATTCTACATGACGCAGCAACACCCCCAGCAGCAGGTGTGTGGGTAGTCAGGGCAGTGGACCTTATTCTCATATCCATACACCCAGAACTTGCCAGGGCCGCCTTTAAACCCGTACTCTACTTCCGCTACCGGGACGATGCGCACCTGGTGTCTCTGTTGGAAAAATACAACATTAGTTTTAGTTTACCTGATTAATGAAAAAAACTGGATTAGCGTACAGTGGTTCGAACCTAAACTACATTTTGCAATGAATGACCCAGACGATATTAGCGCTTTACATAATGATGATACTACTACTACAGCTACCATTACTACTATTACAACAACTACTACTACAGCTACCATTACTACTATTACAACTACTGCTACTACTACTACTACTACTACTACTACTACTACTGCTAATATTACTACAACTACTACTACTACTATTACTGCTACTATTACTACTACTACCACTACTATTACTACTACTACTACTACTGCTGTAGCTGCTGCTACTACTACGACTACTATTACTATTACTACTACTACTACTAATGCTGCTGCTACTACTACTACGATTACTAATATTGTTGCACTATATTATTACAACTACAATATCTGTCTTATATTACTGACTCGGTTTTTTTGTCTTATATTTTTATAATTCATTTATTATAGTTTCCCTCATCGGACGTCTTTAAATGGTTATCCACTCCTCACTGTATTGCACTGAGAAATGTACTCTTCAGAATATATAGTAATGAAAAGACACTAGGGTAGAATAAAAACAAAGAATAAATAGGCACAATACGGTGGCTAGAACAATATACAAATAACCTATGCGTAGGAGATAAATTGATGACGACGTTTCGGTCTGATTTGGGTCATTAGTCACACGGTTGACAGTCCAGGTGGGATCAAAACGTCGTAATTAGTATCAGTCTCCTATGTGCGGGTTACTTGTGTACGTATACACACATATTATATTCAATATACATGTGCAAATGCAAAACAAGCCACTTGGGGATGGAAGAGACTAGCCTAGTTGGGATGTAATATATATATATATATATATAATATATATATATATATATATATATATATAATATATATATATATATAATATATATATATAATAAGAGAGAGAGAGAGAGAGAGAGAGAGAGAGAGATTTTCTAGCAGTTTTAAAGAATTCATCACTTAAATATTTTAGGTATTTAAGATCATAAGCTGTTTCATAAATCTTTAAGTTTATAGATGAGCATATCTTGAAGATTTATGAAATACTTAATGATCTAAAATGTTCAAAAAATTTTATTGATAAATCCTTTAAAATTGCTAGAAATACAATTTAAAAAAAATGACACATAAGAAGAATATGTCGGTTCTCATTCACTATGAAAACATTCTTGATATACCTTCTGTACTTAAGAATTTTAAAATCAATGCTACATTTAGAAATCTTGATTTAGTTAAAAAAAAGTCTTATTTAAAATTCCCCCCAAAATGCTGACAGCTGTGTCGACAAGATTCCATATAAAAAAAGTAATATATTTTATTACCGTCACACTGGAAGAAACTTTGAACTAAGATTACAACACCATAAATATTGCATCAGAAATGGACAAGAGTCTAATACTCTGTTTATTTCATGTCAGAGATTTCGAACATCCAACTGAATTTCAAAACGCAGAGAAAATTGTATCAAGCTGGTCAGTGGTTGATGAAAATATAATTGAATTAAGCTTAAAAAATTGTATAATTTAATATGAATAATAGTTTAGCTTTATAATAGCTTAGCTTTATAATAGCTTAACTTTATTCAGTACGCTGAGGTCAGTGGTCACGTGTGGTCATACCTGCCTAAGCTCTTTGGAGTTAGCGTGGGCTGTTACCAAGCACCATGGCTTGTTGTAGTGTTTTAGAATCTCAGGTTCAAGTGTTGAAGAAGGAGATTCTACTTCTTCAGGAGGAAAATAGGAAGCTGAAGCTTCGCATAGATGAGTTTGGGAGCGAGTGTGAGAAGGATTTAGCTGGTAAGGAAGGAATGGTCGCCAGCAGTGATAGTGGCAGCCGCTTTAAGTGGCAAGTGGTTCACAGTTCAGGAAGAAGGAAGATGAGGAGAGTTAATAGAGAAGATGTGAAGGTAGGAAATCGATTCTCTGTTCTCCAAGACGAGTGTACTTTAGTGGTTAGTGAGGTTGAAGGTACCACTGATCCCCCTGCTAATCAAGGTAAGAATATTTTAATAGTAGACGATTCTCAAGGTAAGATATATCGACCGTGCATTTTGTAACAGAGACAGAAAGGTCAGACAGAGAGTGTCTTCCTGGAGCTGGTGTTGGTGACATAGTCAGCAGTTTGGATAATATTATGGCAGGTAATGGGAACAAGCCCATTATCTGTCTTAGTGCTGGGGGTAATAACATTGGGAAGGGCAGGAGAGAGGAGCTGCTGGATAAGTACAGGTCAGCCATAGAAGTAGTTAGGTCTAAGGGAGGGATCCCAGTCATATGTAGCATTTTGCCTAGAAAGGGAGTGGGCAATGAATGGATGTCTAGGGCAATTGGTATAAATTGCTGGCTAGACGGGTACTGCAAGGAACTTGCAATCCCATTCATTGATAACTGGGACCTATTCTTTGGCAAACGTGATATGTATGCAAGGGATGGGGTTCATCTCTCTGGGGATGGAGTGGTTGCATTAGCCAATTCAATTGAGAGGGTAATTGATGACCTGTCTAGGAATTTAAACTGATAGATTATAAAGGTATGGGTGTTTGTGGGAAACAATCAGGCTGCAGCATTAGGGTTAAAAACAGCAGTTATTACCGGGATACCTCAGGGATATGTTTAAAAGACAATATTCAAAATAAAGTTGCTAGTAATGGCAAATCAATTGATCAACAAAGAAAGATAGTAGAGGGCAACGAGTGACTAGCTCCCTTAAGGTTTACTATACAAATAGTAGGAGTCTAAGAAATAAGATAGATGAGCACAGATTACTTGCAAGTGCAGGTAATATAGATATTATTGGTATAACAGACCTGGTTCAACCTGAAAGATAGAGAAATGCCTTCTGAATGCAACATACAGGGTTATAAACTATTCCACACTGCTAGGGTCAACAGGAAGGGTGGTGGAGTGGCGATGTATTTCAGAGAAAATTTAAATTGCTGTCTTAGACATGATATAAGATTAGAAACATCGAACACAGAATCTGTTTGGCTACAGTTTCTCGAGGGACGTGACAAATTAATTTTGGGTGTGATTTATAGGCCCCCATATCTTGATAGGGAGTGTAGTAAGCTATTTTGGGACGAAATTCATAAGGCATCTAGATATGAAAATGTTGTGATAATGGGAGATTTTAACTTTAGACAAATTGATTGGAACAATATGACAGGAAATCTTGAGACTAGTGACTTTCTTGATACGGTTCAGGATTGCTTTTTAGAACAGATTGTGACAGAATCAACTTGAGGAAACAGTCTGCTTGACTTGGTTCTTGCCAACAAAGATTCACTAATTAATAATCTTGAGGTTAATGATGAGCTTGGGGAAAGTGATCACAAATCACTCAGTTTCAATATAACATGGAATTACCCAGATAACTGCAATCAAATCTCTGTCCCAGATTTTCGCTTGGCCGACGTCATGGGATTGAAAAATTTCCTGGGTGGGCTAAATTGGGATGTCCTGACTATGGGTCAGGTAGGTGATCTTGGTTGCTAATATGACGTTTTTCAGAGCATAGTTCTAGCTGCCCAGACAACTTTTGTCCAGAGTAGGGAAATTACATCTAACAAAAATGATCCCAAATGGATGAACAATAGATTAAAACATCTCATTGGTCAAAAGAGAGGCATATACAGGCGTATCAAAAGAGGGGATGGGCAGTTAAGAAATCAATATATTAAATTAAAGAGAGAAATAAAGAAAGGAATAAGAAAAACAAAAAGTGATTATGAGGCTAAAGTCGCAAGGGATTCGAAGACTAACCCAAAAGGGTTCTTTCAGGTATACAGAAGTAAGATTAGGGACAAGATTGACCCACTTATGAGTAGCTCTGGTTAGGTCACTGACAGTGATAAGGATATGTGTGAAATTCTTAATACCTACTTCCTCTCAGTTTTCACCCAGGAAAATACTAGCGATATTCCTGAAATAAAAGATTATGTAGAACAGGATAATAAACTATGTACGATTGCGGTAACTAGTGACATGGTCCTCAGACAAATAGAGAGACTAAAACCTAACAAATCCCCAGGCCCTGATGAACTGTTTGCAAGGGTGTTAAAGGAATGTAAAGAGGAACTTAGCATACCTTTGGCTATTCTCTTTAACATATCACTTCAAACTGGCATAGTGCCTGATAAGTGGAAAATGGCAAATGTAATACCTATTTACAAGGCAGGTGACAGGTCCTTGGCTTCGAACTACAGACCAATAAGCCTTACCTCCATAGTGGGAAAATTTATGGAATCAGTAATTGCCGAAGCAATTCGTAGCCATCTTGATAGGCACAGACTGATTAATGAATCTCAACACGGTTTTACAAAGGGGCGTTCCTGTGTTAAGAATTTACTAACTTTTTTCACTAAGGTGTTTGAGGAGGTAGATCATGGTAATGAATATAATATTGTGTATATGGACTACAGTAAGGCTTTCGATAGAGTTCCACATCAGAAGCTATTGAGGAAACTTAAGGCACACGGAATAGGAGGAGAAATTTTTTCCTGGGTAGAGGCATGGCTGACAAATAGGCAGCAGAGAGTTTGCATAAATGGGGGAGAAATCAGAATGGGGGCACGTCACAAGCGGTATTCCTCAGGGGTCAGTGTTGGGCCCGTTGTTGTTCACAATTTACATAAACGACATAGATGAGGGAATAAATAGCGACATAAGCAAATTTGCTGATGACACGAAAATAGGCCGTCCAATTCATTCTAATGACGACACTAGAACATTCCAGGATGATTTGAATAGACTGATGCAATGGTCGGAGAAGTGGCAGATGCAGTTTAATATTGACAAATGCGAAGTTCTAAATGTTGGACAGTTAAATAACAATGTCACATATAAACTAAATAATGTAGATCTTAATACTACTGATTGCGAAAAGGATTTAGGAATTCTGGTTAGCAGTAATCTGAAACCAAGACAACAGTGAATTAGTGTTCGCAATAAAGCTAACAGAATTCTTGGCTTCATATCTAGAAGTATAAATAATAGAAGTCCTCAGGTTGTTCTTCAACTCTGTATATCCTTGGTTAGGCCTCATTTAGACTATGTTGCTCAGTTCTGGTCACCGTATTACAGAATGGATGTAAATGCTCTGGAAAACGTACAGATGAGGATGACAAAGATGATCCCATGTATCAGAAATTTTCCATATGAGGATAGACTGAGGGCCCTGAATCTGCACTCTCTTGAAAGGCGTAGAATTAGGGGGGGGATATGATCGAGGTGTATAAATGGAAAACAGGAATTAATAAAGGGGATGTAAATAGCGTGCTGAAAATTTCCAGCTAAGACAGGACTCGCAACAATGGTTTCAAGTTGGAAAAATTCAGATTCAGGAAGGATATAGGAAAGCACTGGTTTGGTAATAGAGTCCTGGATGAGTGGAACAAACTCCCAAGTACAGTTATTGAGGCTAAAACGTTGTGTAGTTTTAAAAATAGGTTAGATATATACAAGAGTGGGTGTGGGTGGGTGTGAGTTGGACCTGACTAGCTTGTGCTGCTGGGTCTGGTACAGTGCTCCATCCTTGAGTGGAGGTGACCAGTCTGGGTGGGTCATTGGGCTCATCCGGGGGGGGGGTCATTGGTCTAATCCGGGGGGGGGGGTCACATGGACCTGCTCCACATGGATCAGTAGGCCTGTTGCAGTGTTCCTTCTTTCTTATATTCTTATGTTCTTATAATTTATAAAATTTGGAAAGAATTTAAGCTATGAGTGACAGTTCCTTGACACTTCCCACCCGCATTATATTGGGACAGGTGAGGTTACATGTCAGCTTTATAATCCTTCTACCGTTCAATTATTTTTGCATGCCCTTGACAATGTGAAAAGTCAAAGTGGTTGTGTATCATTCCAGTCACGGTATTGTGCCTTTTTATGTTATATACATATATATATATATATATATATATATATATATAATATATATATATATATATATATATATATATATATATATATATATATATATATTATATATGTATGTATGTATGTCGTGCCGAATATGTAAAACTGGTCAATTAGCAAGAACTCATTTAAAATTAAGTCCTTTCTGAAAATTTCTCTTATACGTTTAAAGATATATTTTTTTCATTAATGTTAATGTAAAAATTTTTAATTTTGCTCCAAAAGAATCTTAGAAAACTTACCTAACCTTATTATAACAAGAACAATTTATTTTAGCCTAACCCAACTAAATATATTTTAGATTTGTTTACAGTAATTTAATACTAAACAAATACAGTGAAACATATTTTTCTCGTTAGGTTTAGAATGATTTTGGCGAAATTATTGCATACACAAATTTTCACTTGTCCTATATGGCAAGATGAACGTTGCTATTTAAGCCAAGATCGCAAGTTCTGCCTATTCAGCACGATATATATATATATATATATAATATATATATATATATATATATATATATATATATATATATATATATATATATATATATATATATATACATATATATATATATATATATATATATATATTATATATATATATATATATATATATATATATGCAAGGAATTGTATCATAGAACTGGCAGACTCTATAATGGTGGTTTATTAGAGACAAATCACCTTAAATCTACTTTAGCACACAGAAAATGCTTTTCCTCAGAAGACACACCATTATTATGACACCTGATAGAGGTTGACAGCAAACTGGCGAAGACACATAAGAAATATACAATGTCCTTCGCTTCTGCCTGGTTTTTCAGGAACCAACCCATTACAATTAAACGTAAGTCTCATGAATGCAAGACTCACTGCTACCCTGGCTGTACTAAGCTACAGATTTTCCGCCTCTTACAACACTGAAAATTTTGTATTAAAATTGTAAAAAAAAACTATTTGTATAACTTGTTAATGTTTAATTTGACCTTGAGGATGATTCTGGGACTAGTTAAATTACTATAATATTCAGGTGAAGCCTTGATCCCGTTTGGGTAATTCGAAGCAATGGTATTAGTTAGATACACTATCATTCGTGGTCGTATGCAGAATAATAGTCGATAACCCGCAAAGGGGAAATAAAAACTAAACGTGTTGCTCACCCTGGACAATTTTAATGCTGTTTAAATGCATTAATGATCAACTGGCACGATGCTTACCCATCGGCACTATGTTTCCCCATTGGCACTATGGTTCCCTATCGACATTATGGTTCCCTACCGACACTCTAGTTCCTTAACGGCACCGTGGTTCCCCATGGGCACTATGGTTACCCATCGGCACTATGTTTCCCCATCGGCACTGTGGTTCCCTATCGGCACTATGATTACTCCTTGGCACTATGGTTTCCTATCGGCACTGTGGTTCCTTATCTATGCATCCTCTACTCTGCTTGTGTATTCACTATCTTTGCTACACCGATTTTCATAAATAACTTTTTCATGAATTACTTTTTCATAAATTACTTTTTCATAAATTACTTTTTCATAAATTACTTTTTCATAAATTACTTTTCTTTGAGGAAGTTGATGTATGTCCAGAAAATGACCTTCTCATAAAATAGCTAAAAAGAAAACGACCTATGCTTAAGTTACTAACAGGAACATCACCTATGCTTAAGTTTACTAACAGGAACATCACCTATGCTTAAGTTTACTAACAGGAACATCACCTATGCTTAAGTTTACTAACAGGAACATCACCTATGCTTAAGTTACTAATAGGAACATCACCTATGCTTAAGTTACTAACAGGAACATCACCTATGCTTAAGTTACTAATAGGAACATCACCTATGCTTAAGTTACTAATAGGAACATCACCTATGCTTAAGTTACTAATAGGAACATCACCTATGCTTAAGTTACTAATAGGAACATCACCTATGCTTAAGTTTACTAACAGGAACATCACCTATGCTTAAGTTACTAACAGGAACATCACCTGTGCATAGGTTAACTAACAGGAACATCACCTGTGCATAGATTAACTAACAGGAACATCACCTGTGCATATGTTGCTAACAGGAACATCACCTGTGCATAGGTTAACTAACAGGAACATCACCTGTACATAGATTAAATAACAAGAACATCACCTAGGCTTAGGTTAACTAACAGGAACATCACCTGTGCTTAGGTTAACTAACAGGATAATCATCTGTGCATAGGTTAACTAACAGGAACATCACCTGTGCATTGGTTAACAAACAGAAACATTACCTGTGAATAAGTTAACTAACAGGAATATCACCTGTGCATAAGTTAACTAACAGGAACATCACCTGCGCATAAGTTAACTAACAGGAACGCCACCTGTGCTTAGGTTAACTAACAGGAACATCACCTATGCATATGTTACTAACAGGAACATCACCTGTGCATAGGTTAACTAACAGGAACATCGCCTCTGCATAGGTTAACAGGAACATCACCTGTGCATAGGTTAACAGGAACATCACCTGTGCATAAGTTAACTAACAGGACCATCACTTATGCATATGTTAACTAATAGGAACAACACCTGTGCATAAGTTAACTAACATGAACATCACCTGTGCATAAGTTAACTAACAGGAACATCACCTGTACATAAGTTAGCTAACAGGACCATCACTTATGCATATGTTAACTAACAGGACCATCACTTATGCATATGTTAACTAACAGGAGCATCCCCTGTACATAAGTTTACTAACAGGACTATCACTTATGCATATGTTAACTAACAGGAACATCACCTGTGCATATGTTAACTAATAGGAACATCACCTGTGCATATGCTAACTAACAGGAACATCACCTGTGCATATGTTAACTAACAGGAACATCACCTATGCATATGTTAACTAAGAGGAACATTACCTGTGCATATGTTAACTAACAGGAACATCACCTGTGCATATGTTAACTAACAGGAACATCACCTGTGCACATGTTAACTAACAGGAACATCACCTGTGCATATGTTAACTAACAGGAACATCACCTGTGCATATGTTAATTAACAGGAACATCACCTCTGCATATGTTAACTAACAGGAACATCACCTGTGCATATGTTAACTAACAGTAACATCACCTGTGCATATGTTAACTAACAGGAATATCACCTGTGCATATGTTAACTAACAGGAACATCACCTGTGCATATGTTAACTAACAGGAACATCACCTGTGCACATGTTAACTAACAGGAACATCACCTGTGCATATGTTAATTAACAGGAACATCACCTCTGCATGTTAACTAACAGGAACATCACCTGTGCATATGTTAACTAACAGGAACATCACCTCTGCATATGTTAACTAACAGGAACATCACCTGTGCATATGTTAACTAACAGGAACATCACCTGTGCATATGTTAACTAACAGGAATATCACCTGTGCATATGTTAACTAACAGGAACATCACCTGTGCATATGTTAACTAAGAGGAACATCACCTGTGCATATGTTAACTAACAGGAACATCACCTGTGCATAAGTTAACTAACACGAACATCACCTGTGCATAAATTCGCTCATCGTGGAAAGCATTCTTGTGATTATTGACGAGCTGGGACGACGCCAGATTAATGGTGTTGTCTGGGAACTGCGTGAGTGGGAAGATGCGAGTTCCTTCCTCTTCAAAGGCCACTTGCCCTGACACTTCCTTCACCAGCGCCTCTGGCAGGCCGCCCTTCCTTACGATGTGCTCCGAGGTGTTCACTTTCCTGCCGAGATTGCAAAAGCTGTTACGCAAATGAATATGGGGATTGTAGCTAAAAAAAAGAGGTTAAGTTAAATGCGGGTAACGAGTAGAGTTTATAACGTTAAGTTAACTAAGAAAATGGTTCTGAAAGATGCATAATTTATTTTCTGAAGATTAGGCAAAGAACTAATATCATTGGAGAACATCGCATAGCGTCTTCACTCAACAACATTACCAAAGTGGTAAAGAATTTTAACTCCAAAGATGAGGAAAAGTTTGCTGACTTGTCGTGGATGCTGTGAATGAAGATGTTTGTATCAAATACTTTACAAGAGATATAGAATATAGATATAGAAAGGTGACCAGTGAAATGCATCTCATGGATTAGATGTATATTTAGTGGTGATAAATTAGAAACATGTGCAACTCTTGGGTATCTTTATTGAGGAAACGTTTCGCCACACAGTGGCTTCATCAGTCCATACATAGGAGAAACTTGAAGAACAGGAGGAGAATGAGGTAATCAGTCCCTCAACCTTGAGTCGATGTGTTCAGTCCATCAATCTTGAGTAGAATACGGCATATGAGCGGAGAAGCAGCTTATAAACCGTATGGCAGGAGAGGTGCAGCAGTCATAGGTGGTGTCACATTTGTTCAATGTGGAAGTAGGTCGTGCCCAAGAATTAGGCAAGCGAAGAATTCCTAAGTATTAAGATCCCAAGAAGTTGCCACAATAAAATGTCACATTAGTTGCACTTGTGTCCTTTTACTTTACACCTCACGTAATGTTTTGCTCACTAAAACGAGTAATTTTGAAGTACACATGACTAAAGTGTGCAAATAAATAAAATAAAAGGTATATAAATAGTAGTAGGTTGGTAGACAGCAACCACCCAGGGAAGTACTACCGTCCTGCCAGATGACTGTGAAACAAAAACCTGTAACTGTTTAGCATGATGGTAGGATTGCTGGTTTCTTTTTCTGTCTCATAAACACGCTAAGATAACAGGGATATCTTGCTACTCCTACTTACACTTTGGTCACACTTCACAGACACGCACATGCATATATATATATATATACATACATCTAGGTTTTTCTCCTTTTTCTAAATAGCTCTTGTTCTTTTTTATTTCTTCTATTGTCCATGGGGAAGTGGAAAAGAATCTTTCCTCCGTAAGCCATGCGTGTCGTATGAGGCGACTAAAATGCCGGGAGCAATGGGCTAGTAACCCCTTCTCCTGTATACAATTACTAAAAAAGAGAAGAAGAAAAACTTTATAAAACTGGGTTGCTTAAATGTGCGTGGATGTAGTGCGGATGACAAGAAACAGATGATTGCCGATGTTATGAATGAAAAGAAGTTGGATGTCCTGGCCCTAAGCGAAACAAAGCTGAAGGGGGTAGGAGAGTTTCAGTGGGGGGAAATAAATGGGATTAAATCTGGAGTATCTGAGAGAGTTAGAGCAAAGGAAGGGGTAGCAGTAATGTTAAATGATCAGTTATGGAAGGAGAAAAGAGAATATGAATGTGTAAATTCAAGAATTATGTGGATTAAAGTAAAGGTTGGATGCGAGAAGTGGGTCATAATAAGCGTGTATGCACCTGGAGAAGAGAGGAATGCAGAGGAGAGAGAGAGATTTTGGGAGATGTTAAGTGAATGTATAGGAGCCTTTGAACCAAGTGAGAGAGTAATTGTGGTAGGGGACTTGAATGCTAAAGTAGGAGAAACTTTTAGAGAGGGTGTGGTAGGTAAGTTTGGGGTGCCAGGTGTAAATGATAATGGGAGCCCTTTGATTGAACTTTGTATAGAAAGGGGTTTAGTTATAGGTAATACATATTTTAAGAAAAAGAGGATAAATAAGTATACACGATATGATGTAGGGCGAAATGACAGTAGTTTGTTGGATTATGTATTGGTAGATAAAAGACTGTTGAGTAGACTTCAGGATGTACATGTTTATAGAGGGGCCACAGATATATCAGATCACTTTCTAGTTGTAGCTACACTGAGAGTAAAAGGTAGATGGGATACAAGGAGAATAGAAGCATCAGGGAAGAGAGAGGTGAAGGTTTATAAACTAAAAGAGGAGGCAGTTAGGGTAAGATATAAACAGCTATTGGAGGATAGATGGGCTAATGAGAGCATAGGCAATGGGGTCGAAGAGGTATGGGGTAGGTTTAAAAATGTAGTGTTAGAGTGTTCAGCAGAAGTTTGTGGTTACAGAAAGTGGGTGCAGGAGGGAAGAGGAGCGATTGTGGAATGATGATGTAAAGAGAGTAGTAAGGGAGAAAAAGTTAGCATATGAGAAGTTTTTACAAAGTAGAAGTGATGCAAGGAGGGAAGAGTATATGGAGAAAAAGAGAGAAGTTAAGAGAGTGGTGAAGCAATGTAAAAAGAGAGCAAATGAGAGAGTGGGTGAGATGTTATCAACAAATTTTGTTGAAAATAAGAAAAAGTTTTGGAGTGAGATTAACAAGTTAAGAAAGCCTAGAGAACAAATGGATTTGTCAGTTAAAAATAGGAGAGGAGAGTTATTAAATGGAGAGTTAGAGGTATTGGGAAGATGGAAGGAATATTTTGAGGAATTGTTAAATGTTGATGAAGATAGGGAAGCTGTGATTTCGTGTATAGGGCAAGGAGGAATAACATCTTGTAGGAGTGAGGAAGAGCCAGTTGTGAGTGTGGGGGAAGTTCGTGAGGCAGTAGGTAAAATGAAAGGGGTAAGGCAGCCGGGATTGATGGGATAAAGATAGAAATGTTAAAAGCAGGTGGGGATATAGTTTTGGAGTGGTTGGTGCAATTATTTAATAAATGTATGGAAGAGGGTAAGGTACCTAGGGATTGGCAGAGAGCATGCATAGTTCCTTTGTATAAAGGCAAAGGGGATAAAAGAGAGTGCAAAAATTATAGGGGGATAAGTCTGTTGAGTGTACCTGGTAAGTGTATGGTAGAGTTATAATTGAAAGAATTAAGAGTAAGACGGAGAATGGGATAGCAGATGAACAAGGAGGCTTTAGGAAAGGTAGGGGGTGTGTGGACCAGGTGTTTACAGTGAAACATATAAGTGAACAGTATTTAGATAAGGCTAAAGAGGTCTTTGTGGCATTTATGGATTTGGAAAAGGCGTATGACAGGGTGGATAGGGGGCAATGTGGCAGATGTTGCAAGTGTATGGTGTAGGAGGTAGGTTACTGAAAGCAGTGAAGAGTTTTTACGAGGATAGTGAGGCTCAAGTTAGAGTATGTAGGAAAGAGGGAAATTTTTTCCCAGTAAAAGTAGGCCTTAGACAAGGATGTGTGATGTCACCGTGGTTGTTTAATATATTTATAGATGGGGTTGTAAGAGAAGTAAATGCGAGGGTCTTGGCAAGAGGCGTGGAGTTAAAAGATAAAGAATCACACACAAAGTGGGAGTTGTCACAGCTGCTCTTTGCTGATGACACTGTGCTCTTGGGAGATTCTGAAGAGAAGTTGCAGAGATTGGTGGATGAATTTGGTAGGGTGTGCAAAAGAAGAAAATTAAAGGTGAATACAGGAAAGAGTAAGGTTATGAGGATAACAAAAAGATTAGGTGATGAAAGATTGAATATCAGATTGGAGGAGAGAGTATGGAGGAGGTGAACGTATTCAGATATTTGGGAGTGGACGTGTCAGCGGATGGGTCTATGAAAGATGAGGTGAATCATAGAATTGATGAGGGAAAAAGAGTGAGTGGTGCACTTAGGAGTCTGTGGAGACAAAGAACTTTGTCCTTGGAGGCAAAGAGGGAATGTATGAGAGTATAGTTTTACCAACGCTCTTATATGGGTGTGAAGCGTGGGTGATGAATGTTGCAGCGAGGAGAAGGCTGGAGGCAGTGGAGATGTCATGTCTGAGGGCAATGTGTGGTGTGAATATAATGCAGAGAATTCGTAGTTTGGAAGTTAGGAGGAGGTGCGGGATTACCAAAACTGTTGTCCAGAGGGCTGAGGAAGGGTTGTTGAGGTGGTTCGGACATGTAGAGAGAATGGAGCGAAACAGAATGACTTCAAGAGTGTATCAGTCTGTAGTGGAAGGAAGGCGGGGTAGGGGTCGGCCTAGGAAAGGTTGGAGGGAGGGGGTAAAGGAGGTTTTGTGTGCGAGGGGCTTGGACTTCCAGCAGGCATGCGTGAGCGTGTTTGATAGGAGTGAATGGAGACAAATGGTTTTTAATACTTGACGTGCTGTTGGAGTGTGAGCAAAGTAACATTTATGAAGGGATTCAGGGAAACCGGCAGGCCGGACTTGAGTCCTGGAGATGGGAAGTACAGTGCCTGCACTCTGAAGGAGGGGTGTTAATGTTGCAGTTTAAAAACTGTAGTGTAAAGCACCCTTCTGGCAAGACAGTGATGGAGTGAATGATGGTGAAAGTTTTTCTTTTTCGGGCCACCCTGCCTTGGTGGGAATCGGCCGGTGTGATAATAAAAATAATAATAAATAAAAACCACATAAATATTTAAAAAATACGTATATTCACTATGGTTAAATGTATGTACATGACAACACAATAATCAATGAAGGTGAGTGGAATAAAATGCTAAGATTGTCTTGTTGGAACCTGACAAACAGGGACAAAGCTGAAGGTAAGACTATTCTTAAAGAGGATTAAGCCAAATTCGTGCATCACCTCGTCCAAGGTAGGAGGATTGTTGTCCCCAGGCCAAGCCATCCTCTCGGCCAATTTCTGAGCGTATGGTATCTTGCTCAAAAAAGGACAAAGCATCTTCCCAAAAAAATCTCGGTTGACATCCCCGGAAAGATGATCTAGGGTCTTTTTAGTGAGGGACGACAGACCTAAATCAATGAGGAATACTTCGACACGATCGAAGGGGTTCTGAGGGAGGTTGACCATCACGTTAGATGCGTGAATATCACCATGTACAACCCCGATATTGTGTAGTTCGTGTAATCGCAAGGCCAAGGAGAAGCAGATGGAAAACATGTGCCAGTCAGAAAATAGAAATTGACGGAAGGCATCTTTTAGAGTCATCTGTCCCATACAGGTGATCAATAAGGCAGGGGGATCGTAACACATTGCAATGACACGGGGAGTTCCTCCTGCCCCGTCTAGCATCCTCAAGAAAAATAACTCTTTATTGAACATTTTAAGAGAACACGACTCCTTCATCACCTTCAGGATGGCTTACCGTCCTGAAGGTAAGGAAATACGCCCCACAACACCATAGGAACCTTCGCCGATAATCGCCTGCTGGGACATAAGGAGCTCAAGGCGTTCTCGGGACAGGATACACAGACTCATTATCGTTGTAACGAGACCTTTCAGTTGGCACTGTAGCCATTGATTATTGTGTTGTCATGTACATACATTTAACCATAGTGAATATACGTATTTTTTAAATATTTATGTGGTTTTTATTTATATACCTTTTATTTTATTTATTTGCACACTTTAGTCATGTGTACTTCAAAATTACTCGTTTTAGTGAGCAAAACATTACGTGAGGTGTAAAGTAAAAGGACACAAGTGCAACTAATGTGACATTTTATTGTGGCAACTTCTTGGGATCTTAATACTTAGGAATTCTTCGCTTGCCTAATTCTTGGGCACGACCTACTTCCACATTGAACAAATGTGACACCACCTATGACTGCTGCACCTCTCCTGCCATACGGTTTATAAGCTGCTTCTCCGCTCATATGCCGCATTCTACTCAAGATTGATGGACTGAACACATCGACTCAAGGTTGAGGGACTGATTACCTCATTCTCCTCCTGTTCTTCAAGTTTCTCCTATGTATGGACTGATGAAGCCACTGTGTGGCGAAACGTTTCCTCAATAAAGATACCCAAGAGTTGCACATGTTTCTAATTTATCAACATGTCGGTTCTCTGAACCATTCATCTACAAACATATTTAGTGGTAAAAGTCAATGCAGTGGTGGTCATCTGTAACCTCGAAATCCTCTTTTCGCTACCTCAATTATTATTATTATTATTCTTTGATTTAATTTTATATTATTATTATTATTATTATTATTATTATTATTATTATTATTATTATTATTATTATTATTGTTGTTGTTGTTGTTGTTATTATTATTATTGTTGTTGTTGTTGTTGTTATTATTATTATTGTTGTTGTTATTATTATTATTATTATTATTATTATTATTATTATTATTATTATTATTATTATTATTATTATTATTATTATTATTATTATTACAGTTATGGGGGATCGCTAAACAGATAGAGAGGGTCATGCAGTGCCTGGGGAATGAAAGGCAATCAGATTCGTTCCAAGGAAATGTATGGTAGCATCAGTTCTTTGGATCCAGAGACCCTTCACCAGCATCAAGGTTCAGCTTCCTTGAAAGGGCACTGCCACCAGCTGACTGGTGTACTGTCCACCACTCACAGCCTCAAGTGCCCAAGCTCTACTCCCTCACGATCTCTCATCTAACCAAGCTTCCATCTGCACAGTCAATGTTGGATTAGTTGCTTCAGAAAGAAGTGCCGGAGGCTCGTGGTGGTGGCACTGTGCCGGAGGCTTTGCATGAAAAAAAACATCACTGGGGATGTGAGTGTCTAAGGGCAAGTGAAGGTAGAGGTGACTGTTGGTATGATGGTGCTCTACAACCACTTGGCTACCCGTGCTGAGCTGTCGTAAGTGACCACTGCAGACAGTTATGTTCACTTGTATATGTCGCTTTCCACCTGCGCCACACTTTGTTCACTATATCTTTGGTCGTGGCGGCCTCACTGCTGATCTTACCACCTGCACCTACCCTCCACATTACTTTTTATCTAGCCTTAACTGCTAAAATATATATCTCTTCTACCTTTGCCTTCATTCCATCTATCTTCATTCCCTCTACCTTCATTCCCTCTACCTTCATTCCCTCTACCTTCATTCCCTCTGCCTTCATTCCCTCTACCTTCATTCCCTCTACCTTCATTCCCTCTACCTTCATTCCCTCTACCTTCATTCCTTCTACCTTCATCCCCTATGCCTTCATTCCCTCTACCTTCATTCCCTCTACCTTCATTCCCTCTACCTTCATTCTCTCTACCCTCTGATAGGTTTAAACCTGATTACCCTTCAACTTTTTCCATTCACTAAGCGCTGTATATCTCTTAAAAGGTCTAGCGCTAGCTCTCCAAGGAATCTAATGATAATTATCTTTCTTAAACATCTCCTCCTCTTCTCCTTCTACCAGCCTCTCCTCCTCCTTCCCTCGCACCAGCACCTCAGAGTCTGGTCCTACTACTACTTCCTTCTCTTCATCCTCCTCCTCCTTCCCCTCCTCGACCTCCTCTTCCCCCTCCTCTACCTCCTCCATAATTACAGCAATTTCAGGATTTGATTTCACAAAAATCTTTGTACCGACGGGGGGAGCTGAAGTGCTCACACTAGTAAGGTAATTGATTACGTTCCGATACTTCTTCCTAAAACGTGTGTGAAAGTGCAGGAACCACGATAATAAACTGCTCCCATGACACGCACTGATATTTTCTAGGTAATTTCCTTCTCACGCAAAGCTTTCAGACCTGTCGTGCACGTGATATATTTATCAAGGTAATGTTCTCTTACTGCAGAATAATTACGCGATGTCGAGAAAATTTAATTTTTCTAAAGCTGTAGATGATTATTTGCATGTTGGCAGCACTGATATATTTGTTCAGGTGAGAGGTTCAGTTAGGGACGATCGGATTTATGTATTGGGGTAAAATCTCAGTTAAGGTTGATTGGATTTATATATCGAGGTAAAAGTTTCAGTTAGGTTGATCGGATTCGTGCGTCGGGATAAGAATCTCAGTAAAAGACGATCTCAGTGTATATAAGAAGAGAGGTTTGCATCTTTCAGTTAATATACACAAAAAGTTTACTTTAATATCTAATTTTGGGACTAAATCATACTTGATTTGAGGTTTACTGTATTCCAAACTGCATCCTTAATGATGTAAATTCAACCTAATGAACCAGCTATATAAATATAAACGACTATCGCTGTGACCTACAAAATATTTATATTTCAGGTTCAGTGAGTGCATAAGTGTGAGGCTCTTGACAAACTGTGCACGATTGTTAGTCACATTTCACATTTACTGACGGTATCATAGTAACAGCAAGATTACCAGCGAAGTCTACGGGAGTGTAACAACATATTTCACTAACTGAAATATATTTCCGAAAATTACTTTTAGATACCTGGAGAGTATACCTGGAGAGTATACCTGGAGAGTATACCTGGAGAGTATACCCGGAAAGTATCTCTGGAAAAGATTTGGTTGTCAACGTTCCACGGGCCGGTCTGTGAAGACATATCCAGTACAGAGAGAACAGGTAGAGACAACCAGCCCTATACACATTAAGGCAAAAATCTAACGCATGAGTAGTCTTGAAGTAGACATATGCTGTTAATAGGGAATATTTTACTAATTCCAAACTATTATTATTATTATTATTATTATTATTATTATTATTATTATTATTATTATTATTATTATTATTATTATTATTATTATTATTATTATCATAGGGGAGAGTTAAGACTGTATGGGCCATACGGGATATGAGGAATGGGAAGTAAATAGCTTTGAAAGAAGGATGGAAAAGTTAGCTTCAGTTCTTGAGATCTAAAGCTGCCCACTAGAAGGTCATTCTCATGGGAAAATGAACATAAGAGAAATATACAAGACTTGAATCACAGCAAAAATTATTTCGAACTAGAAATTATTTTAATGGAATGTAATCGTGGAGAAGTATGGTAAATAATTAGCCATAGATCCTAGATCATATTCAGACTCAAAGATTTATTTCCGCGTGATATAATTTATGTATAGAGATGGGGTAACATTTAGATGTTCATGTAGAAAGCCCATGGTTATTCAGAGCATCACCTCACTGCTTCATGTGCTGTGCGAACAATGAGTTTCTTACACGTTAATGTCTCTACAAATATTCAATATTTAGAAATGTTTAAATATTCATTTCTGATTTTTCGAATCTCCGTACGCTTTCAAACATTACGTCCGCAGCCATAGCCATTGTTTCGCTAATTACGGCCATAAAACGTGAAATTTTTTTGCAGGCAGTCAACGACGGTTCTTTAGCAAATTCTGATTCCTGGCGATAGCCATGGCCTGTCATGTAATAGTCAAATTGATCTTGCAAAATCTCTCACCCCCATCGCAAATTTGTTATCTATTATACAATATAACTGACTAACTGACTCACTATATGATAGCCCCGACTCATCATACAACAATATTGACTCCACTATACGATAGACCTGACCCACCACGCAAGAACGCTGATCTTAACATGCAATATAACTGACGCACAATACGATAGCCCCCTGACCATCCTACAATAGTGCTAATCTATCATGCTAGAGCGCTGACCATGTTATGGTGAGGCGGATGAAGCAGCGGATCTGTCCGTAGCTGTCACAGGGAGGGCAGGCCACACGACCCTTGGCGTTGCACTTGAGGCAGTCCTGACGTCCGTGTCCGTGCGTCGACGACTGGCAGTAGAAGCAACGGTCCTTGTATCCCGAGGAATCCGTGTACCAACCATCTCCGTGGCACGACAGACACCTTGTCTGTAGGGGAGTTAGCAGGAATCACCATACAGACATACAGGCAACACACGTGATGGTCACTGTCTATGGGAAGGGTTACGGAACATCAGCCAAGCGAACAGACATCACAGGTTAGGGTTATAGTGACTGAGGATGGACAGAGACCCTCACAGCTAACAATATAGACATCGCAGATAAGGATTACTGTCTGGAGGAGAGTGACACATGGACAATCAGCCAGTCTCATAAATAGCAAAGACGATACGGTCTTCTGCAGGTTTTTCTTCTACTCATCACAGACTGACTGTGGAGGACACTATTTTTGCCAACACTGCTGCTTCGCACTGATGCGATGCTTTCGTTCGATACTTTTCGCCTCATTAACGTAATTGTAATAGTAGATACAAACTTTATTAATACAAATTGTTGCCAGCGTAGCAGACTTTTGAAGTTTGAAAGATCAAACCACCGGGTACGATCCATCACCCTTGAAAGAGGCTGCTGCTGGGAAAGCGAGGCTAAATAAGGTTTCTAACTGATATTTACGCGTATCAATCACAGCGTGATTTTATTTTACAAAATGGGTCCTAGGAAGCTGTAATGCGAGGCAGCGTCGCACATGTGCCTTTGTTTTTACAAAGGCTAAATGGCAATTAGTGCAGGAGGAGGGAAGGAACATTTGTCTTGATGGCGAGGATAAATGAATATTTTAGCTGCGGTCTGGGGATTAGCCGAGGGTGTGGTAATGACATATTCCACTCAGGATGACACCCCCGTGTGGTACAGAATGCTCCGTCAGGAGAGAGAGAGAGAGAGAGAGAGAGAGAGATCTCATTGCAACCTGGGCCAGAGGTGACTGTGCTTATATTCAGTAGGCTCACGTCCTCTGGGACGTCGATCAACGTACAGACAACTGTAGAGAAAAACTGTAGGACAGAGAAACACAAACTAATAAGTAGACAGAAACATCGAGATAGAAAGACAGCGACAGAGACAATGGTTGACAAGATATACAGGCAGAAGCACAGAGAGGAGAGAGAGAGAGAGAGAGAGAGAGAGAGAGAGAGAGAGAGAGAGAGAGAGAGAGAGAGAGAGAGAGAGAGAGAGAGAGAGAGAGAGAGATAGAGAGAGAGAGAGATAGAGAGGGAGAGAGAACATCACAAAAATATAAGAAATGACTCACAGGGGTTCCATAATAGAAGCCGAGCTAAGATGACAGGCACAAAGGGCAAAATGAATCATCACTTAAGCAATCTCCTAGGGAATATGACCACAACATAAAAGATGCTCCAAAGCGCTGAAAGGTTGGACAGGGAAAAACAGTTCATAAGGGCTGGGACCAGGACAAAGGAATACAAGGGTTGGGACCAGGAACTGGGAACAAGGACACACACCCAGATACACACTCACCCATCCCTTGCCGTGGCACTCAGAGCACTGGAGAGAGCCCGTGCCCTTGCAGCGGTGGCACTCCTTAACGGAGGCGGTGTGTGGCACTTGCACCACCTTCACCTCGTCGTGGAACAGGTGAGCGGGTTGAGCCTCCACGTCCCAGGGCAACGGTGCTGCTCCGTTGGACGGACCATCTACATCGCCGCCACCGTAAGGGGTAAAAGCCCAAGACGTCTCCCGTTTCTCTGTAAAAGTCTGTAGCTCATACTGTTGGGGGAGAGAGGAAGAGCATGTTAATAAGGGTAGGTAGTTCAGGTTACTGGGAGAGGTGGCCGCCATACTTCACCAACAAACTAAGAAAGACGAACCACGGTACGGGAGGGGCTTGAACTCATGGAGAGTGAGTCGTAGAACTCTAGGCCAGTGAGTAACCCACTCGGCCAGCTGGCCATGGGTTCAAACACCATCCGTATCGCGGTTTGTTTGCAATCGTGTTTTTTACTATTTTGTGACTTATGTAAGGCTAGTTCGTAATTCTGCGGGAAAACTTAAAACCTTTCAAATAATTCTGCTGAATGAACGTTAAACGTGATGAAGAGATAATTATACTAAAAGAACGTTGAAGGATCTGTTGATTCTGCTTGAATTTTTTTAGATAAACAGATAATTATAGTGGGAGAATGTTAGTTACACGACCTACACATTCACCTACAGAGAATTTAAAATAAATGAAGAACGATAGATGAGCGATTCATTCTTCCAAGAAAATGCATGTGAGCCGTTCTGCTCGGACCAGGTGGCCGAGGCACACCCTGTGGTCCGAACAGCAGTCCAAATCTCATGGTAAAGAAAAAAAGTAAAAAATTGAGTCGTGAGTGTAAAATATCTCACGGCTAGTATACGAGAATGGACAGAGATAGCGAACAGAGAGAGAGAGAGAGAGAGAGAGAGAGAGAGAGAGAGAGAGAGAGAGAGAGTAATGCCTGCGGTATTTTTACGGAATGTGATAAGAGGAAGGGAAAAAAATTGAATCTCCAGGTTCAGATGTGACACATGTATCAAAGAGGATAAAGAGGTTTTCTTTTGTTGTGGTAAATGATTGAGAGACTAGGAAGGCGCACTGTGTCACTGTGTCACTGAAGATTCTGCTCTGAGGTTATGGTGCAGTGTGGTGGCTGAGAGGTGAGGCAAGTGCTGTCAGTGTGGTGGCTGAGAGGTGAGGCTAGTGCTGTCAGTGTGGTGGCTGAGGTGAGGCTAGTGCTGTCAGTGCTTGCTGATGTATAATGAAGGTGGTACTATGACTGATGATGTATAGAAACCTGCTGTTATTAGTGTTTGTTACTGTCTAATGACTATAGTGCCGTTACTGTTTGTGATGCACAATGACTCTTGAACCATATATAGTATCAGTCCTTGTGACATTGTAGCAGATAGTGCTTCCATAAACACTGCAATAACTAACATTGTGGAAAACAGTGCTTTGATGAAAACTATAGTGACTAACAAGAGAGCAGATAGTACTTTGATAAGCTCTACAATGACTAACAAGAGTCTACAACTGTAAAATTGTAAAATGTGAGAGAAGAGCTAGCTAAAGGATCCTAGAAAGTCATTCTTGAGACTACTAGACGAAATATTACAGATAAAACGCTGAGTGTGAGAAACCACGAGCAGAGCTTTTCTTCTGTAGTAGGTGGTTAAATAGCTCCTGGGTAATCGGGAGGGTAAGACAGGGATCGAAGGATAGGAAAGGTCGCTCCAGTTCTTTGCATCAAGAGCCCTTCACTGGCATCAAGACAGATTGTGCAGTATAAATTATTCATGTTATTTAGACATTTAAATTCATACGCTTGTAAATCACAACTCACAGACTTATAAATCACAACTCAGAGACCTTCATGTCACAATTCATAGACTTTTAAATCACAACTCACAGACTTCCTGTCATCATGCGAGATTACTTTATGAATTAGTAGATGTGCTCAATCTTTGCTGATGTCTTACAGTTAGTCTAAAGAGGATCGAGTCTTCACCACTCCTTGCACTGAGTAACCCACGCGAGTTTAGTTTTCTCATAAAATATAAACCGCGAATTATGAAGTTTACCTAAATCACTGGTGCATTTTTTTATGATGAGGGTACAATTTTTTTTATTTATTGGCCTGCAGTATGGCGTCAGGTAACTCTTCGCGGTCCATCTTCCAGCTGTGTCTTCAGCTGTCGCAAGAAGATGCACGCGCTCAGGTGTTACGATGTGACTCGCGATAACGAAAGTAAACCAACCGGACTTTTTTTTTATTTCGATATTGTTGACTAATTGTATATGAATAGATTAATATACGTTCAACTTTTCGTAAGCTAGAATAACAAAAATTATGTTTCCTTGTGATGTTTGAGCAGAAATGATGAACGACACCTCGGCGCAAAGCACAAGTGTCCGCTGGTTTCACGAAACTAAAACTTGAAGCTCGTGAGCGTTTAGACCACACAAAGTTATTTAAAATAATGTGCAAAGTTTGAGAGAAAAAAGTTAGAAATTTAATATTTTATTTAAAAGCAAGTTTTAAGTAGTCAGGACGGTACCTAAAAAATTGACTAAAGTAATTGAAACTAACAGCCAGTAATGATTAAAATGACCTAAATGAAGCTTATCCAGAATGTATTCCACGAGGAAGACTAACGCTTCTGCCTCGCACAGGTCACACGCAAGTCAAGCTAACACTGATGTATCATATAATTTGAGTTCTACATGTTGACACTTCTGGCACAACTAATGTTGCTACATCACGACGAGAAGCCGCAGATATTTCCTTATAACTTAAAAGTAAAACACTTCGGCAGTCTTTCAACCAGATTATATTAACGTAATGCGCGTCTTATAATTTGCTATAAAAATTAAAAAAGGAACAAATGAGAGTTGTAATGATGCAAATGATCCATCAAAGTAATTATTCGCCGTTAAACTCTCAGCCTTCTTTCATATTGCCAGCTTGCTGTAGGGGAGAAATTTTTTATTTATGGAATATGGAGAGGAGGACCATGGCATAGGTATAATTTTTTAAAATTGGGAAATGACTTCAAGATACACTGCGGCGTGTCTCCACGCTCTAACCGGAGAACAAGATAAGCTATAAAAGTTTTATAACACTCTTGTGTAAATGTGTCATGATCTTTGAAAGGTGAGACGCCAGTTAGGCCGAACACTTTCGTAGGTTAAAAGAGATGAATGTATTTCGATCTCCGCCAGAGACTCTTATGCTGAAGAGGATTTTAATTGGGTCAGAAGTGGGTCCGAAGAAAGTGTGAAGAGGGTCTGCACAGGGTCTCTGTGTTTAGTTTTTAGGTCCAACTGGTTTTTCATCTTTGGTTCTGTAACGCGTTGCAAACTATAGAACGTAGCGCTTTCCAGGTTAGTTAAGGTAAGGCAGGGAAAAGTTACATGTCTTGTTTTTGTGAAATGTCGCCCGGCGTGTCTGATGGCTGCCGCCGCCGACTTTTCACCTCTAATGCTGCCTTCCAGTTTCCACTAAAGTTTTTGCTGCATTAGCTACTGCTCCGCTCCGACACCCAGGACAGTGATTTCATTAAGTCTCCAGTCATATTTCCGTTTCCCATGTTATTGCAAAAGTTATAATGTAAACCTAGAACAATAATTTTATATATATTTTTTCCAGTTTGTTTAGTGTTTTCAACCACACTTACAATAAAATATATTGATAATATAAATAACAAAAGTTAGTATGTCGTAATGATATGTCCCATAGTCTTCCTGTCCACAAAGGCAGCCAAGTTCAATTGTGTGTATACTCAGCGAGTATACTCTCAAATTTTCTAATGTTTCTTGTTTTAAGGACGCCCCGTTCCTTATGACCTGTCTGACAGATGCTGTGTACAGAGTCCGGGAAGACGTTTTGTTTAGGACCCTGATGAAGGCAGTTCTTACTATTGAGAGTCTTGTGTATGCCTGACATGTTACTGAGTCGATGTGAGCCTCGCCGGAGAGCGTCTGAGTGAGACTGACCAATGAGTCTCTTTCCTTTTCCGATATTTGAATTTGCTTCCCTCCCAATTTGTATTCTGGTACAAGTCTTCTCTCCCTTACCCCCGGTCGATGTTTCCTCTCCCACGATCACTCTCTGCCCTCTAGCCTTCAGCTGTTCCTTGGTACAATGGAGTGCCTTGACTTGTGTCCATCAATTTTCGACCAGCATGTTGACTGTCCTCTTGTGTCAAAAGGTATTCTTTCGGGTTAAAAATACATAGGCAACCCATTTCTCCCTTTCTTCCTAAATCTTCCAGACTCACTTCTATATAGAAACACTAGTAGCTTCGTGAGGCAAACTCTACCATCCTTATATCCACGCTGATGCTCCGTGAGAAGCAAATGCTCACAACGTTTTCTTATTGGTGCTTCGCAAGGGATCCATTTTCTCTTGGTAATCATGGTGGTGTTCCATAAGGAACTCAGGCATTCTAGGTGCTTCTGGTGGTGTTCCATAAGAAACCCAGGCTCTCTGCGTGTACGCTAGTCTCTTTTTAATTATATTTTCCAACACCTTTGATGGTGTGCACGTCAAAGATGCTGGTCTGTAATTTTGTTCCTCATGTCTGTCTTCCTCAGTGTGTGTGTGTGTGTGTGTGTGTGTGTGTGTGTGTGTGTGTGTGTGTGTGTGTGTGTGTGTGTGTGTGTGTGTGTGTGTGTGTGTGTGTGTGTGTGTGTGTGTGTGTGTGTGTGTGTGTGTGGAGGAGAGCAGCTCTCATGCAAGATCCCTCTTGCCCACGCCAAGTATTGTACGTACGCACAATACACACAGATTTACCTAAAAGCCATTGGCGAATTGAGACCAGCCCCAGAACAATTTACTTGCGCCTCCTGCCTCTATATCATGCCTCTGCAGCATCGAAACTAGTAAAAAAAATATATATATATATTCCTGCTTCTAAGGCTTGTAAGCCTCTCTAGGCAGAGGTGGAGGACGCTTGCACCTTCTCTTAAGAACTCTATCGATTTCAGTTTCCCTTATTAATGGAAAGTAATCGTAGTGCTTCTTTGTTTATGTTATAAAAGCTGCTACTGCTGATGCTGCAACAAGCACAGACCAGTGGTTTGATGTAAATATATCTAAGTGTACAAGGGTGTTATAGTCTACAAATTTTTTTTTTTTTGGTAAGTTTTCTGTGGTTATATATTTCATTTTCAGTAAAGACATCAGTAAAGTGAAAAGTCGCCCTTTTTGAAGGACTCTGTGAATAACTTAAGAATACAA